CTACCCCCAGCCTGCCCCGGCAGTGGCCGCAGTCCCAAGATGCGGCAGAGGGGGGCACAGACAGTCTGGGAGGGAGGCAGTGGGCAGCATGCGGGGGAGAGGGGGGGCAGGGAGGCGCCCCGACCCCCGGTTCCAGTTCTCTGAACTCCCCGCTCTGGCTCCCCCTGCCGCTGCATGGCCCCTGGGGGATGGGGGCAGCTCCAGCTCCCGAGCGTCCAGCTCAAGGGGGTCTCACCGGGGGTCCTCGCAGCCTGGAACACACATGGGGAGTGGGGTAGGGCAGTGGCACCATCCCCAGGGGAAACTGAGGCACAGGTGGGGCTTGGCTAAAGCCCCGCCAGCAGGTGTTCTCCACCAGCCCCTGCTTACCTGGCTCGCTGGCCGGTGGGCTCCTCCGGGCAGGGGGGCTGCTGCCTACAGGGCTGGGGGGACACTCTGGCCATGCGTCCGCCTCCGGCGCGGCAGCCCCCACGGGTGTGGCGTCGGCCGATGAACCCTGCCCCAGCGACTGCAGCAGCTCCTGGTGGGCCGCCTCCACATCCTACATGGGGTGGGAGGGGGGCATGAGCGGGGGGCAGGACACGTCCCCCCACCTCCTTCCTGAGGACCCCTTGCCTCAGCCCGAAGCACTCGCCTTCAGCTGCCCCAGCTTCAGTATGAGCTGCTCGATGACCTGGAAGATCAGGTCCACGTCCCGGATAGCCAGGCCGGGTGCGGGCGGCTCCAGGGGCCCCTCCAGGCTGCCGGGACAGGGCCCCATCTCCTTCCTCCTGGAGGCTGGGGAGTGGGTGCAGGGGGGTGCTGAGGGGCTGGTGGGCGGCGTGGGGTGCTCGGGCTCCGTGGAGGACTCAGCCGGCATGCTGACGTAGAAGTAGTTGCCTGCAGCATGGGATGCGGGGAGCAAAGTTCCCTTAGCTGGGCAGGTGGTAACAACGGGCACCATGCCATGCTCTGAGCATCACCCCCGAGAGGGGGCAAAGGAGGGACCTGCTCAGAATCGGGGCCCAACTCCAAACCCCTGGATCCTGCTGGGGATCGGGACCTTAGCAGGCATCATGCCATGCTCTGAGCATCACCCCTGACAGGGGGGCACAGAAGCAACCCGCTCAGAACCGGGGCCTGACCACAAACCCCTGGTTGTTGCCAGGGATCGGGACCTTAGCACTGAGCCTGTGGGCGCCTGCTGTGCTCCAGCACAGGGCTCCGGAGAGACGGGCTTATGGTGCTGGAGAGCTGGAAACAGCGCCCAGGGGCAGGATAGGGATCGTTCCCAACCCCTGCCCCCAAAAATGGCATTACCATCTACATTAGCTCTGCCTCCTTCCTGCAATGCAGTTTCTGATTGGTTGCCGCCTGGCAGGAGCATGGCTGGGTTAGTGCCCTCCACCTCAGCTGTGCAAAGACACCAGGAAAAGAAGGGGGGAAAAGAGAGAGGGAAGGGGGGGGAAGGGGGTTGGGAGTGATGGACAGGTGCAAGGAGCAAAAGCCCAGTCACCAGCTGTGCCCAGAGATGGGGGGAGGTTTGCAAACAGCCCCAGAGCCCAGTTGCATGCAGGTCACCGTGATCAGCAGGTGCTGGGAGAGACGAGAGAGCACTGACCCTACTCCCAGCCCACCCTGGAGAGACCCCCCCTTGCACCCCAAGTCACCCTCCTGGCCTACCTTTGCGCACCACCTTGAGCCCGCTCTGCCCCTCAGCACTCGGGGACATCTCTGCCTCCTGCAGTCCTGCTGGGGATGTTCCCTCCGTGGCCCCTGCGTCCACCCAGTCTCCGGGCTCAGGTCCTGTCCCACCGCTTGCTGGGCGAATCTTGCCCTCCTGCCCCGTGGGCTCCACCGGAGGGTCCTGGCAGGGCAGTGCTGCATCCCAGGGCTGGACGGTGCCCCCGATGACCGAGGGCGTGGGCGTCAGGTCATCCTCAGGCTCCAGGTCCCGGCAGGGCAGGAGGCTGCGCAGCAGAAGGTGCCGCAGGTTCTCCACTGCCAGGGGAGAGAGCATGAGCACGGGCAGGTTGGCTGGGACCTGAGCACCCAACCCACCCCTTGCTGCGAGCCCCATGGATGGGAGCATTTGTGCCAGGGTGAAAGGCTTGTCCCAGCCCTGCTGATGTCCCGTCCTGTGCCAGCCCACCCCGGATGCTGCACCAGGCCCATTTCTGGCCGTGCAGCTCACCATCTGCCAGGGCTGATTCGGCCAGCCCCTTCCCAAGTGCCGGCTCCAGCAGGGCGAGGTGCATATCTGGCTCTGGCCGCTGCGGGTGAACGTCGTCCGGCTCCGCGGGGGGCAGGGCAGGCACAGGAGCTGCAGGCAGTTCCTCTTCTTCCTCCTCCTCTTCCTTGCCTGCCATGCCCTCACTGCGCTCTGCCTCGGGCTCCTCCTGCTGCAGTGGGGGCTTCTCCTTGCCCAGGAAGTCGCCGGGGTTGTTGTCCACTGAGTGGGGTGAGAGGGAACAGAGTGGTGGGTTTGGGCACCATCCACACTGGTCCGTGCTGCCCAGACCCAGGCTCCTCGGAGGGGCAGAACCTGCTGCTGGACCCCAGGCAGGGGACGGGGGGACTTACCTGAAGAGACCTCTTCCATCTCCGCTCCAGAGCTGCTGCTTTGTGCCAGCAGCGGGGAGCCCTCGGTGTCCTGCAGCACCAGGCTGGCAGGGACGAGACAGGTTAGTGGGGGAGCCCTTGGCACAAATCTGGCCTGACCAGGGCCCTTCAGCATGCCGAGTGAGTCCCAGGAGTCCCAAGCAGGGTGATCCTCACCTGGATGGGGCTGGCCTGTGCGTGGGCTCCTGCGCCCGGGGCTTCGGGGGGAAGGTGGCATTCCTCATGGCACTCTGCACGGCCTCCTCCAGCAGCTCCATCCACCTGCCAGGCGCAGGGGAGAGCCTGTCACGCCCCTGGCGTGGGTCAGGACAGCCCTTGTCCCTCAATCCCAACCTGCATCCCCACCGGCCCCCCATCTCTTGTCCTGCCCTACGTGGGCGCAGCCTGAGCCTTACGCGTTCTTCTCCGAGGACGTCAGCGCCACCAGCTCATAGATCTGGGGTCCCAGCTCCGAGGTGCAGATGATGAAGAGGGCTCGCTTATCTGCAGCAAGTGGACATGAGGACGCTGCAGCAAGGGCCAGGCATCTTGCACGACCCCTGGATGCGGCCCCTCCCTGAGCCTGGCCTGGACCCAGGGCTGTCTGTTGTTCCCCTGGGACAGGCGCTGGGGGGAGCAGCTGATGAACAATACCAACCCCTTTCCTTGGGGGGTCTTATCGCTTTCCCGCTTCCTTGGCTGGTGTGTCCCCAGCCTGCAGGACTGGGCTGAAAGTCCCACCCCACAAGTCCACTGCCAGGGAGACACCCTGGCATATGCTGGGCATGGCTGGGCACAGGCTGCCCCCCGGGGCTCCCGCTACCTGTGGCCACGGAGCGGATGAGCACCGAATTGAGCTTGAGGACGGGGCTGAAGGTTTGCTTGGTGTCGGCGGAGCCCAGTGCCGTCTTGCTGTGACACTTCAGCACCAGCTTCTCGTCCTGCTTCTGCAAAAGCACCAAGAGGTCTTCGAGCAGCAGCACATGCAGATCTGCACGGGGCGGGCAGAGAGAGAGGGTCCAGCTCAGAAGGTGCCTTCGGGCCACGGTGCTGCCGATGCCCCACGTTCCTCCGGTCACAGCCAGGGCTTCCCCTGGGAGGAGGCTGCTCTCCAGCCAGCAGCTGGGGAAGGAGCCAGGCTGTGCCCCCCTCCACCCTGCCGATACCAAGCTGGGACTAGCGACCTCCCTTCAGCCCCCAACTCTCCGTGGAAGTCAAAAGGGCTGTTGTCCTGAACCCCTTTTGTCTCCTTTACCCAACCCAGTCAACCAGACTCCTCTCCGGGGGTAACAAGGGACCTCCCCAGGCCCTGGAGATGCAACCCTTGCCTGCCTCATGCTTAGCAGAGGGGCAGCTCCTTGCTGCAGCCCCGAGCCCCCAGGGCCAGTCTACAGAGCCTGGAATTGGGGTGTCTGTAGAGCAGTGATGCATAGTGGATAAAAGCCTCCTGACACCGGCTGTGAATGGAGCTGCCTTTGCCCTCAAGCTCAGGCTGCAGGAGCTGGGCTCTAATGAGGGTCAGGGGAATCAGAGGGCCGTGGATCTCAGGCAGGGCTGGACTGCAGGCTCTGTTTGGGCTGGCTGCAGAGAGGAGCCCCCACAAATGGGCAGGAGGGAAAACTTCCTCCCTGTCATACCTGTTGCTCTTTCCCCATGCTCCCCTTTTCCTTTGTCTGCAGGAGCCTGCATGGACCCAGGGGGATGGGGGCAGTGCTGGTCCGTGCTCCCGGCTGCGGGTGGGTACGTACCCACGGTCTTGTCCTTGCTGACGCGCCAGCTCAGGGGCCCCTCATGGATCATGCGGCGGGACGTGAGGTCCAGGTTCTGTGGGGGCAACAGAGCCCATGCTCAGCTCTCCCCGGGGAGGGCAGGGTCAGAGTCAAGCCTGTCCCATCCTGCCCCCATAGTGGGTGCTACCTTGAACTCGGCTGCCAGCGGGTTGCTGGTTCGTTCCAGCGAGGTGGCATCAAGACGCTTCTGGTAGGCCTCCAGCCGATGCCGGTTCTCTGCCCGCTTCACCGCCTCGTTCACGTGCCGCAAGATCTCCCGGCACTGGTCCCGGGCACGGCTCAGCTTCTCATGCTCTGGGGTCCTGCCTGGGGGTGAGAGGGGTGGTCAGAAACGGAGTGCATATGGCATGGTGGGGTTCAACACTCCCATACAATCAAAAGGCTCCCAGAGCCAGGGCCCAGGATCAGGCCTGCACTTTGCCCTGCACCCAGCCTGGTCCGCTGCCCTGCAGCCAAGGTGGGGGGCTCCAGCTGCCCCTTGTACATGCCCTCCTCTACAATGGCTTTATAGACCCTATTTGCTCCCCCCAGAGATGAGGGGGGACTTCGCCTCCCATAGCCCAGCCCCTGCAGGTCTCTCTGCCTGGACGTATTGAGCTAAGTGAGAAGCCTGAGTGGGGCTCAGGCATCCCCCTGCCCTCCACGCCACCCCATACCCTCCGTGTGCTTGAGGACGTTCTCCAACAGCAGTGGGTACTTGGTCAGACGCTGCATCTCAGAGATGATCAGGTCCTTGAGCTGCAGCCGGCGGCACTGCGGGTTGCTCTCGGCTTCCTGGGGCAGGGCAAAGAGGCAGTCAGAGGAAGCAGGACTCCCGGGGAAGCAGGGAGAGGGCAGACACACCAAGTCAGGAGGGGCTGGGGAGAAACCGCTCGGGGGTGGGGGGGAGGAGATACCTGCATGAAGATCTGGAAGCGGGTCTCCTTGCGTTGCTTGGTTTTGATCAGCTCCAGGGCGATGGACTGGTAGGCGCAGAAGTCGGCTGCGACCTGCTGGATTTCCTCGCGTGCTGGCCCATCGAACTGCGGAGGGGGATAGAGTGGGTTCAGGCACCTGTTGTGTCATTGTGGCTCCAGATGTGGGACATACAGCAGTGCGGGGGGAACACAGAGCTGTGAGGCCACCACTCCCTCCCAGAGCTCATCACTCTGGTTGTCCATAGGCACATGAATGCCCAACTCAGTCTCGCTGTCAAACAAGTGCCCCTGCCTGCAAGCCCCGTTTCCTGCACCCTTTGTACCCCAGGGCCAGAAGCCTGTTGCCTTCACTGCCCGACTCACCCGGGACAGCATGAGGTCCCCGATCTCTTTGATGATTGGTCCTTCTTCCCGCAGCTTCTTCATGGACTCACAGAGTGAATCTGGACAGAAGGAGGGGATTGGAGCCGTGTGTTACCAGGGAGCAGGGCAGGCGACACTGCCAAGGGAAAGGCCTCTGCTTCTAGGGCTCCAAATGCCCCTTGTTGATCCAGGGCACCAGGGTCACGTCCCCACCCTGAGGTTATAGAGCCTGCATCACTTGCGAGTGCTTGGCTTCTCCACCACACTCCTGCAACCTCCTCCTCCTGCCTTATCAGGCCCTGGGGCCTGGGGGCCCTCAGCTCAGTGACTGGTGGATGCCCTTGGGGCAGGACCATTCATGCAATGAGCTGCTTCCAGCCCCAGCTTCTGGAGGAGCTAGGGGGTAGGGGGGGAGGGAATGAGAAAGCCAAGAAAGCAGCCAAGGTGCTGCAATGAGACACTTGGGCCCCACGCTCCACCTACGCTGCTGCACCC